ATTCCCAGAGTGGCTTACCAACCATTCTCTCTTCACAGGTCAGAAAGGAGAAACATTAAGCTTTGGCGCTGTTCGTTGCCGGCTGAGGATTTGGGGTGTGTGTGACAGCATGTCTAGAGTTTTTTGCACTGATAAACTTCACACACACACACACACACACACAGCGTCCATCCTGCATGCCAAGTATCCCAAGAGACCCCCTCGGCCCCCTTGCTGGCTTTGGCTCTCCAACGTTTCAGAGGAAGAAAAATTTGATGTGCAAAACCAGACATCCAAAATGGCTCAACATAATTTATTTTTTATGTTAAAATGTACAGAGTTCTTTTGAAAGTACTTGCTAGAAAGGGGGGAGGGAAAAAGTGATATTACATACAAGGAGAGGAAGGGAGGCCGGCCGGCCCAGGAGCGCATGACATGGAGAATTACAAAGGGTTTATCATCCAGGCACCCCTTCCCCTTTTAAGCTTACAAGTCACCAAGAACGAAGTACAAAGAAGTTACAAAACAGGAAAAGCAAATATAAACAGACAGGAATAGACGCGGCTTCATTTTGTACATGCGGCTTTAGAGGCATCTGGAACTCTAGTTACACACTCTAGAGATCTCTTTAAAGAGAATTTTCATCTTTCTTAAAATAGTCTTTAATATTCTACAACAAAGATAAAAAATTTTAAAGATGGAATGAAATGAAAAAGCTCTTTTTTTTAAAAGGCATCAAAGTCACTAACAGTGAGTTTTTTTTAAATTTCTTTTAGAAGATTACCAAGTTTATTTTGCTAAAAATACATTATTATTATTATTATCATTATCATTATTATCATTATTATTTCTTAAACAGAAGTGGGGGGGATGACAGGTACCAATATTACTGTGTCGGATTTATTTTTTTTATAATATAGAAAAGAACATTGGGTTCTCTACAATAGTTCTACAGTCACAAAGGTTTGTGGAAAAGAGGGAGCTGCCCAATTGATTTTTAAAAACCATACAAAAAACCCAAAACCGAAAAAGGTTAACAGCAGACAAAAAATAATAATAATAATAAAATTACATGGCCCTTGTGCCAACAGCTTTGCTTTTGACACCCCAACAACGCCCCGCCCCCCTGCAACCAGGAAGCAATGCCAGCTCAGATGACCAGGGGAGGGAGGAGAGGGCAGCCCGAGACGTCTTTCGACACAGATGAGGTGAGCCTGGATTCATAGATATATACAGGGACAAGGATCCTACACAGCCTTGTACACATGCTGAAGAACTAAGAAAAAATGAGGGCTGGAAGCCCCTGGGATTCTGCTTTTATACTCAACAGTATAGAGGAAGTCCATTTTAGTGCAGTTGAACCCCCCCTCCCCCCCTCCACAACTGCCTTTCAGGTTTCTTTGAAAAAAAAATTCTTTACACATCTAAGTCAATCTAAGTGCGTCTGTAGCTCTACAGGAATATACAGAGAACTTTACATTAGAAGGATAAGCTACATGTCCCCCTCCTTATCGTTAGTTGATGATGTGCCCACAGGCCTGGCATCTCTTCACAGGATGACGGGATGGATTGCACTGCACGGACTCGCCCTGCCCTCCTGTCTCCCTCGCACTCCCTCCTCTGGCCCCCCAGGCGCACACAGCTGAAGGAACACCCAAGAGTGACCCTCTGCAAGCTGCTAGAGCCCTACGATGCCCCTTGGGGCAGGGGGAGCAAAGAGGCAGCAGTGCCAGCAACAGGCCCGCCAGGGAAGAAGGTGACAGGCTCTTGACAGCCATTGAAATGTGCGCCCCAACTTTCAAGGGGGTGCAAGAACCTTCGGAATCTCAGTCCGTAAGCAGAGTTTTGTCCAAGACTCACATGCCAGATTTCCAGCTGCAGGGCTTACTGAGCATCCCATCTCCCTCACTCCACTCCCAAGCGCCCTGCTTTCCGGCTGCACTTAGCTTGTTCTCAAGATACTGCTGCTAGGCAAGGAAGTCTTGGATGAAGGCAACGGGCACACTTTTGAAGTTACAATTAAACTGTATTTTAGTTCAGAGAGAGAAAGGTGGGGACAGAGGAGAATAAACCATTCAGAGTTCCTATTTCTGGAGGGATGGCAGAAGAAGACCAGAAAGTTTGCCTTGGGCTCTATTAAAGGTAAAGGTACCCCTGCCCGTACGGGCCAGTCTTGCCAGACTCTAGGGTTGTGCGCCCATCTCACTCAAGAGGCCGGGGGCCAGCGCTGTCCAGAGACACTTCCGGGTCACGTGGCCAGCGTGACAAAGCTGCATCTGGCGAGTCAGCGCAGCACACGGAAACGCCGTTTACCTTCCCGCCAGTAAGCGGTCCCTATTTATCTACTTGCACCCGGGGGTGCTTTCGAACTGCTAGGTTGGCAGGCGCTGGGACCGAGCAACGGGAGCACACCCCGCCGCGGAGATTCGAACCGCCGACCTTTGGATCGGCAAGCCCTAGGCGCTGAGGCTTTTACCCACAGCGCCACCCGCGTCCCTTGGGCTCTATTATCCCATCCTTAAGTCACCACCTCAAAGCCTGCTGTTGGGCCTGAAGTAGGAAAGAGAAGCTAGGGGAGGGTGGAAGGATCTGACCTTTAGAGATGGCGCCATCTTAGGAGCTGTGCACAAGGGACAAATGGAGGAGAAAGAATATGGCGGCTGAAAATGAGATAATATGACAGTTTTAAACACTCTGCCCAGATGGTCAGCAAAGTAAGACTCTTTGTTAAATTACAGAACGGTTTTGTGCACATTTTCAATTCCCTCCCTGAAAAAAATAAAAGTAAACCCAAACCCCATTTTAAAAATGGATTTGAACTGTGAAGTGTTTCAGGATCATGAAGGGAAAACAAAGACCCAAACCAAAAGAACCCCACAAAACGTGAAAAGAATAAAGACCAGGCCCCCTAAAAATAAAATAAAATAAACCCAAAGGGAACAAAACCCCATCTAAGATCTACAGCAATATTTAACTGGAAAAAGGTCCATTGTCTCTGGTTTGTCAGTATAAAAGGTTCCTTTATTTATAGAGAGATTTCAGTTAGTTCTTTAAAGACAGCAAGTTTATCTTGCTCATCTTCTCATGTAGGGTCCGTTGAGAGACTGCTTGGGGACCCCAGCAGCATTCATGTAGCTGTGATGAGAGGGGCCAGTGTACATCATGTTCCCGTGAGGGTTTGGCTGCATAGGCTGCTGGGGATAGGCCTGGCTCCCCATCATTCCCATTTGCATCTGCATAGGATACTGGGCTGTCTGGTTCATGTAGGCAGGGTTGCTATGGTAGCTGCTGTTCATCATGGGCTGGGTCATCCGGTAGCTGTTCATAGCATTCAGGGTATTCATATTCATGGAGTTGACGTTGTAAGGGGCGGTGGGCATCAGGTTCACCCCCATGTTCATGCCGCGCTGGACAGCCAGCGCTCGGGGGCCGGCCTGCATGGCAACCGCAGGGGGGCTGCGCCCATAGAGCTGCTGCTGGTGAGCAGCTGCTGAGGGCAGGGGTGCCGACTTGGAGCGGATGGAGATGTGCCCCTTGACGGGCATCTGCCCCTGCAGCCTTTGGGTGTGGGGGATGCCGATGTTGGTGGTGGACATGTTGCACTGGAGGAGGGGCGAGGCGAGGTTCATGGTGGTGGAGGCCAAGTTGGGAGGGGGTGTCATGGTGGCTTGTGCTTGGGGCGTCCCGGCCAACGGGTGAGACGGAGCCAGCTGCGCCAGGCCGGTGTTGGACAAAGACACGCTGGTTGCATAGGAAGTCACAGCGGGGGAATGGCTGTAAGGCATGGCATGAGGGTCCATTATGGTGTTGGTCAGCTGCTGCAGCTTGGCTAGGCTAAAGGTGGCCGATGGCTGGGAGTAGCCACCGGCACCAAAATCCCCAGGAATCCTCTCGTAGATGCTTATGTTGCCCGTGCTGCCAGATTCCGGGATTTCCATTATCATGGGTGCTGGAGTGAAGCTATTGTTCATGCTACACTGGGACAGGGAAGGCTGCTGTTGCTGCGCTGGAGGAGGGGGCTGGGGCTGCTGGGGCTGCTGGGGCTGGGGGGGCTGTACCGCCGGCTGCTGGTTACTCGGAGGCCTTTCAACCACGCAGCTCTGGGGGGACTTGATATTGCAGTTTGTGGCGGGCTGGACGCTGCCCTGGGGCATCATGCTGCAGCTGTTGCCCATGCTGGCTATTTGCTGGGTGACGACACAACTGTTCTGGGTGAGGCTGCTGGAGGACGACAGGCCACCATAGGAACAGCTGCTCTGAGACGAGTTGTTACCGCAGATGCTGCCACCCATGGTCGAGTCGTAGCTGCTGGGGTTCTCGTAGTTCTCTGTTGTGCTCTCGATGCTGCCCAGGTCGCTGAAGCCACTGTCCACCACCTGCTGAGAATGGTCCGATACAGAAGGCACATCCATCATGGGGCTGGTCTCCATGTTCTGCATAGAAGGTGCGGAGAGAGAGCCTTGCTCAGGGCTTATCTGGGTGTAGCCGCTCTCCAGGGCACTGGGCACGCTGGGGCTGCTGACGGAGCGCACCGACTGGCTAGGGTGAGACTGGACAGAGGAGATGGGGCTGTTATGTTCCGAGGCCTGGCAGTCCTCAACCATAGACATCTGAGGATCCTCTTCAGCTTGGGTGTAGCTCTGCAGGTTCTGACAAGCCGCTAGGGTCTCCTCGCAATCCTGGTAGGCTACGTCGTGCTCATTGTTCTCCTCCTCCTGCGTCAAGGATTGCACTGCTTGGACGGTTTCAAGATCCAGTTCACTGTGAGGGATTGGCTCCTCTTCCTTCAGCTCAATTAATCCTTCCTTAGCATGCTGCTCTTCCTCTTGGTCATCTTCGGAACCAGGAACGGGATCTGATCCCACCGATGTCTCATGGGAGGCTTGCTCCTCCTCAGAATCTGCCTCTCCCTCACTCTTGTTCTTGACATCCTCTTCTCTGCTGTCCTGTGTGCTTGTTTCTAAAAAAGGCTCCTGAGCGTCAGGCTCTTCCTTCAGCCCCTCTGTTGCTGCCTGCTCTTCCAGTTCATTCTTCTTGGCAGGCTCCACCTGCCCATCGTCTTCTTCGTCATCCGCATCGTGGTCTTCATTCTGGTTTGCCACAGCTGCCACTTCCTCCTCCTCCTCCTCCTCCTCTTCGCGCTCAGGTTCTTCCATCTCCGGCTGCTCTTCTTCCGACTGCCTCTGCTCTCCGAGGCTCTGGGGCTTCTCCACCTCTTCCTCCATGTCGGGTTCCTTGACTTCTGCTGCTGGGCTGCTGCTGCTGCTGCCCTAAAGGAGAAGCCCCTCTTGCTTCACTGGCAGCTGCACCTTCCTCTTCCTCTCCCAGGTCCCCAACTTCTGGAGGCCCTTCTTCTTCTTCTTCTTCTTCTTCTTCTTCTTCTTTCCTTTCCTCTACAACATGCAGGTGCTCTTCCTTCTGCTCAACAGGCTCTTCCTTCTCCTGCACTTTTGGTTTGCGACCTGGTTTCAAAGCGGCTTCCGTGGGGTCAGTTGCCTCTTCGGTGGCAGCTGCCAAGACCTTCCCTCTCTTCAGCTTGAAGCCTGGCTTGCGGCCAGGCCTCTTCTTCCAGTGGATGGGCTTGCGGCTTTTGCCTTTGGGCCAGCCCTTCTTCTTCTTCATGGGGGTGGAAGTGTCTGGCTGGAGTGGGGAATCTTTCGCTTCACATTTTCTCAGCACCGAGACTGGTTTCAAGGTAGGAGAGCCTAAAGAGGAGGGAAAAGGAGGAGGGAAAGGTTAAGCAGCTGGACGTCTCGTCCCAATTCCTCACTAGGCTTGCAGCTGAAATCTCTGCAGTTGATTAACCACCTGCCTGTTAATATTAAAGGTAAAGGTACCCCTGCCCGTACGGGCCAGTCTTGCCAGACTCTAGGGTTGTGCGCCCATCTCACTCAAGAGGCCGGGGGCCAGCGCTGTCCGGAGACACTTCCGGGTCACGTGGCCAGCGTGACATCGCTGCTCTGGCGAGCCAGAGCCGCACACAGAAACGCCGTTTACCTTCCCGCTAGTAAGCGGTCCCTATTTATCTACTTGCACCCGGGGGTGCTTTCGAACTGCTAGGTTGGCAGGCGCTGGGAGCGAACGACGGGAGCGCACCCCGCCGCAGGGATTCGAACCGCCGACCTTTCGATCGGCAAGCCCTAGGCGCTGAGGCTTTTACCCACAGCGCCACCTGCGTCCCTGTTAATATTTTACCCACAGCGCCACCTGCGTCCCTGTTAATATTACATACTGCCAAAAGCTCCATAGAGCAGCTTCTCTAAGATGTTACAGCAAGCTCAAGTTAATGTGCAATTTAGCAAGTTACCACTCCTTATCCAAAATAAATACTGTATTTCAAGCTGCCCTTTTCACTCAATTGTTGCCCCCACAGTTGACTGACTGAAGATTTAGTCTGCTATAGTCTACTAATTAAACCTTGTAGCCCTACCGAAAGAACAAACTGCACATCTATTAGAGGGTGGTGCTGGTGTGTTAGAGGAAGGAGATTCAGCTGGGTCTCCTGACCTGAAACTGCTTTCGCTCTCTCCCACCTTCCCAGGTATTGCATTTACATCTCAAGCCTCGAAAGGGCACAAGCCCAAAGAGCTCTCAACCAAGGTAGGCAGACAGAGCAAGAGATGCTGGCCAGTGAGATGTCAATCAAGTGGGAGATGAAGCAAGCCAACGGACTGGTGGAGAAGGAGCACATGGCCACTGGCTGGCTGCAACTATTATCTCCTAAAATAATATTACATGCTGGAATCTAAGAACTATTTCTCAGCTTTCCATGGGAAGAGCCTGCTACTTAAAGGACAAGCAGAAAATCACTCCTTGAGTTTGTAGATATAAAATCAATGCCTTTTAACGATGTCAAGAAATGAACAAATGAAACTGCCCTGACAGAAGGAATTTTCTCCATTCAGGCCACTACTGTCACTGACTCTTCAGAGCTGTGGGTCACAATGTCTTTTCTTTGCAGCACTTGTAGCAGCCTATAGGCACCATTTCAGTATTTCTGCTTTAATGTTTTGCTTAATGTTCTACTGGATTGTTATGGTGTTTAAATATCATGTACAGACATTTGGGTTGTGATTTTATTATTACAATTTGTGTGATCCACTTGGAGACTTTGTTGTATTAAGCCATGTATATATAATTTAATGAAATGAACATATTCACAGCCACCAACTGCAGCTTGTGCCATGGCATTTGCAAAGATTGAGCAACCTTTCCCAGCTTTGAGATGTACGACTTCCCAGCTCTGTGGCACAGGGGTGTAATAACAACTGTGATAGAAGCAGCCGGAGCCTGTGGCACTTGGACAGCAGTAGGGGTGTCTGTGAGCCAGGTTGAGGCTGCACTCCTGGAGGCCTCTTGCACAGCTGTGCTGTGGCTGGGACTAGAAGTGAGCTGCAAAACTACACAAAGGCACAGGGCACCGCAGGGACACACAGTGTGTGCACTGCAGAAAGGCCTATTCATACTTTAGAGCTCAGACTCAAATTGTCTAACCCTCACTGATACAGCCCATTTCCAATGTTCACAGTGCATTAACTAGTACTATTTATAGCAGCCCAGGGAGGCAAGTATGGCTGTCCAATTTGGGGGGTGGAGAAGAACTGAAAGAATAATTCATAGCTTTGCACAAGAGGATCATTTCCTTGTGGATTGTGGAAGCCTCTGCAAGGTAGGATCTTCCACACACCTCAATCCTCCTAATTCAATCCACAGCATCTATCTTGCCAACAGCTGCTCCCATGTGGCGTACTAGCCTCTCTCAACCTTGGGTGCCCAGATATTGTTGGACTACAACTCCCATCATCCATAGCAAGCAGAAGCAACAGCCAGGAATGAGGGAAGCGGTAGCCCAACAACACCTAGGAACCCAAGGCTGAAAAAGGCTGCTCTACTGGGAGGAGGAGGAATCAGTGGAAATAGATTAAAATGTTTTGTACTGCAGTTTTGAAAAAAGGTAATCGAGCATTATAGCCAAGTATCTCACAGTAACTGACTCATTCACATGCAGAGAGCATAAGCATCTGCCTAACAGGTTACTACAAAACTACACTTAACAGGGTCATCTGGGCTTAGTGACTGTTGTTTAACCTCTTAAAGGTTAAATGCAGCTTAATAGTCTAAATTCAAGACTAGATGCAAAAGCACTTTGGAGAGGGTTAAGAAGCTACAGCCTAGCATGAACTTTCCCACAATGTCATCAACGACAAAGGGAGAGTGGCAGGGGGGTGAAGAATGAACCAATTCCAGTTTTTATGGAACTGAACAAATGCAATTTGAAGGTAACAGCCTATTAGATGAAGAAATGTGGACTGCTACTGTCTTATAATGGCTTGGTAACAGATGAGTGGAGGGTTGCAGAGCTAAAACAGATAAACAATCAGACACACAGGTAGACACAGAACATCCTCAATGATATTGCTTTCTATTATGTAACTTAGTTTTATGCTCTTATATTCTGTTCTCTGAGGACTGCTTTTACAGCTGATTCCAGAAAAGGTATTCCGCTAATCTAGAAAGAAGGTACTTAAAGAGATTCCTGTAAATCTACTCTTGTGGAATCTAAAGCCAATGCAGAGGACATTGCACTTTATGTACTGTGCAGTCCATTCTGTGTACCCCTTAGGAGTAAGCTTTTGACTGAAATACAGGAAAGGATTGCTATAAAGAACGATTCTGATAAAATGCCTTGGATATAAACAAAACATAAAAACAGCTTTTATACGCAGCACCTGCACAAAAACTAGGCCAGTCGGAGATGGTATCCGGTTGCTGAGAGCCTCTGGTTCATGCAGCATATACTTGCTGACCAAAGGACTCAAAATGCCTGTGCTTCTACTTTGCAGTGACAGACTGATCTAACTAAATGAACCACACTGAAACTAATGGGCTATTTGATGGAAGTGGGTGCTTTACCTTCCACTTTCTTACCACCAGGTGAAAGGAGGGACAACAGATGCCTGCACTGGTAAGATTGCTTCTTGTTGCTGTTGAATTCCCCCACCCCACCCCTACCAGTAAGCCATGGAGTTCATCCCAGTTCCTTAAGCGGGTTGTATGTCACCAGCTGGCCCCCTGGAGCTTGGCCTTGGCCCTCATCTCTTTCAATAGAAGTTTCATTGCCATCCATGGCAGGAACAGGGAACCTGTGGCCATCTGGATGTTTTAGCCTGGGGGGGGGGGAGAGTGTCACAGGTTGCCCTTGGTCCAAGGGCTCTGGCAGCCCTTGTCCTTTGTCTTTTCCCACACCCATGCTCTCCCCACCATTTCTTCCCTAGTTGTCGCAGCTCACGTATTCCTGGGACTGGGCAATCTTGCATGTTTCATATGGGCAGGGAGTGTGCAGGGAGGGAGCAGTTAGCGACCTTTCTTATGGCAAGTTACACTGCATTGAAGCACCCACTGACAACTGTTCTTGAGAAACCTACCAGTGGCATCGTCGGACTCCTCTCCACCCTGAGATCCTCTCTTGGAGGAGGGCCTGTGCCTGAGGGAGCCTTGGGGAGAGAGGCGACGAAGATATCCTCTTGGGAACAGTTCACTTTCTTCCTCATCCTCCTCGTCCTCCATCTCAAAGGTGGGCTCCAGTTGAGGCATGGGCCTTTCAGAATCAGAGTCCTCAAAAGGCTCATCCAGGACCTCAGTCGTTTCAGAGATGGTTTCTGTCACAACACTGCTGTTGTGATATTTGCGCTTGCGGACCCGCCTCTTCCGGGGAATGGGCTTCTGCACAAACAACCACAACCAAGTGACAGATGGTTACATACAGCACAACTCAGTGAGGCAAGAGAGAGAAGCCCTATAGCATGTGGAGAGGAGACATCCGGGGAGGGCCACTGTCATTTCCTATGGCCACCAGCTGGGCTCACATTGGCCAGGACAGGAGGAGGGGAGGCAACTGGAGAACATGTCAGTACTCCAGTTTCAGGACTGGCATATTCCACCCCCTCTGGTGTCAAGGGCATGCCAGACCCCCCTCTGCACCTACCATCAAAATACGGGCAGTAGAGAACTAAGTGTAGCTGCAACGAAGAGGCCTCTGGAGACATTCTCTGCCCACAGAGGTCCTCAATATCCTAGGGTCCCCTAGGGCCCCCTTTCAAAGTCTAAACCTACTGCCTTTCCCTGGCACAAAGATAAACCTTTAAAAATGGATGGGGAATCTGGGGCCCACCTGATGTTGTGGGCCTACAACTCCCATCATCCCTGATAACTGACTGTACTGGCTGGGGCTGACAGGAATTGGAGTCCACCAACATCTGGAGGGCCACAGGCTTCCCACCCTTTCTTTAGAATATGCATCTCACAAATATGTAAGTAGCAATATGTGCATGCTGCAACAGCTGAGCAGAATAAACAAATGGAGTGCAGCAGTGGGCTGAGATTTTGCTTCCTGAGAGCCTCTGCATTTGTTTAGAAAAAAGAAAAAGCAGCAAAGTTTCTGGCACTGTCTGACTTAAGATGTGTTTGGAAGTATAGGCAATGGCTGCTAAAATCTCAGAAGCCAGAATACCTGCTGGATAAGAGTCCCAATGGTTGTGAGTGGGATGTCAGTGCCCTGCATGTCTCTCCCTTAACTAGCAAAATGGGGGGGGGGGTTTGAAAGTTCCCTCCCAGAACTGCTACTTGTAAAACAGTAAATCTGCAAAAGGCTAAATTACAAAATTAAGTTTTTCTGGGCTTATTATTATTAAAAGCATACACAGTCCTGAATATGATCACCTTCTTACACATGCACATAAAGCCTACAGATGCAAGAGCTTTTCAGGAACCTATCCAGGGAACGAGAGAGGTTCAACAGGCAAGCAGAAGCTAACACAAGGAGAAAGCTCAGGGTTGTGTGCAGCTGCGGAGCAGACAGAAAGGGAGAAAGACATACCTTTCGCTTCAAGGTGGGTTTGGTGAGAACTGGTGGGGAAGTGGAGCAGGGGCTGACAGGCTCCTCCCCCTCCTCTTCGCTGCTCTCACTGAAGTGCCTTGGCAGTGTCCTCTCACCCTCGCGGTGTGGCCGGGGTATTCGGTCGCACTCCTTGGAGAGTCTGCCTTTCAGGGGCTCGTGGGTCTTCAGCTGCCCTCGCCACACTTCACTGTATCTCTGAGCCGCTGAGGGCTTCTCCCCTTTGCCATACTGCCCATGGGAGATGGGGGACTTTTCCTCATCTTTGCCAAAGTGCCCCCGGGGAGCCGGGGACCTTTCCTCACATTTGCCACACTGTCCCTGGGAGGAAGTGGTTCTCTCTTCAGTCTCCCCAAATCTCTCTCGGGAAGCGGCCGCAGCTGCAGCCGCCGCAGCAGCCGCAGCCGCCTTTTCCTGACACTCCCCACAGCGACCTCCCCTGGCCATGGCTGACTTCTCCTCTAAAAGCAGTTTCAAATCCTTCTCTGCAAAGGACTCCTGCGGCTGTTTGTTCTTCCGACGGCCTCTCCGTGGCATCTGGTTGTTTGCAGGAAGACCAGCAAGGGGAAGACTTTGTTTGTTTGGCCGCACAGAATTGGCTGGAGAAACAATGTCTGGCTTTTTTTCACTCTCCAGAGGAAAGTAAGACTCTCTCTCTTTTTTCTCCCAGGATACAGATTTGATCACCTGGTATAAAGAAAAAAAGCAAGCTATTTTATTTAAGACTTTCTTGCAACTGCTACTTCCTACAGACATAAGGTTGCTGGGAAACTTGGTTCTGCATTTAAAGTACCAGCTTGCAGCCAAAGATTGGAACAATCTTGATCTTTCCTTGATTCCACAACTCCTGGTCATGTCCACCTTTCCTTTCTTCCGATTCCCCTCCAGTTTTCCTCTCCCAAATACCTCCCCATTAGCTGGCCAACTTCCACCGTCAAGCCCACTCCCTTTTCCACCACTACTTCCCTGGGTTTTCTGCTCTCCTTCCTTGGCCTCCATTTTTCTACACTTCCTGTGCAGGCCTACCAATGACCATGGAAAACCTCATCTGAACAATCCCATCCATCTTTCCATCCAGGCTGCCTAAATTTCCCGTCACTATATAGGCCATGAAGGGAATATTTTTATTCCGAAACTGGGTTCATGAGTGCAATAGACCCCGGGGGTTTAAGTTCAGGTGAGCCAAATTTTCAGACCTAAGGCCATTATTCAATAATAGTACAAGCACTGTTCCATGATTCAGTCTTAATCATTTCCAGTTAAAGGATCTCAGGTTGCAGAGTAGGAAGGCTTCTGTCTGAGTGCAGAAAGGAGCAAAGCCTGCGAGATCTTTTGTAGTTGTTGCAGCTTGATGACAGGAAAAAAAACACTTGTAGTAGTGAGACCATTACATGCCCTCTTCATCCCAGTCTCTAGTATTTCATTTCTGGTATCTGGGCAAAGATGATCTAAATCCATTTGAGTCTGATTTCATGCCCATTTTTAGCATCAAAACAGCCTCAGTTGCCCTGACTGATTGCCTTTATCAGAAGAGAGAGACCAAGAGGTGGGAACAACCCTTGATCTTTCAATGGCTTTTGCCATCACTGACCATAGTCTCATTTTGAAACAAATCAGGGGGCTGGGAGCTAGAGGCACCTTATTGCAGCAAATCTGCTTCTGCCTGCAGGGTCATTACCAGAAGGTAACACTAGAGGAATGTTGCTCAGCCCCATGAGTTCTGAGCTGTGGGGTCCCACAGGGTCCATTGTGTCTCATATGCTAATTCAACATTTATATGTTAATATCACACTGCTCTCTTCCTCTCCCTCCTTCCATCTAAATCAGCAAAAGCTGTGGGGTTGGACTGGTGCCTGGCTGAAGTGATGAGATAGATATACTGAGACTAAACAGTGGGTGATTCTCGGGTCCAGAAATAAGGTAGACAGCTTGCACTGTCCCTTGAAGGAACAGGTTTGCAGTCCAAGAGCATTCCTGGATTCCAGCCAGGTGGCTTCTGCAGCTAGGAGTGATTGCACCCAAATTAGGCTGGTTTGCCAGCTATTAGCCTGACCTCAGTTGCCCATGCTCTAGTGACTGAATACAATCCAGAAGCTGCAGCTACAGCAGAAAAAGGTTGCTAGGTTGGTGAGTGGGGCAATTTGATAGGACCATGTGTCACTGGTCCTGAAAGTGCTTCACTGGCTGCCAGTCTGAATTTGTACCAGTAAACAAACCCTAAAGGGCTTGGGACCCAAGACAGCCTCCCTCAAAACCAACCACCTCGGGCCAGAAAACCATCAAAGCAGGCCCTTTTGGCAGTGCCACCCCTTCTGGGGACTTCCTGACTGATGTTGACCCACGGCAGGGCCTTCTCAGTACTGAAGTGATGGCCAAACTTGGCCCTCCAGCTGTTTTGGGACTACAACTCCCATCATCCCTGGGTAACAGGACCAGTGGTCAAAGATGATGGGAACTGTCGTTCCAAAACAGCTGGATGGCCAAATTTGGCCATCACTGCAGTATTGGTTCCTCACTTATGGAACGCCTTCCAAAGCATTCAGGAGGGTTTTAAAAACATTTCCATTTGTCCAGGTATTTAATGGCTACAACATACTAATTTAATTTTCTAGCCTAACGTGTTTATATCCCACCCTTTGTCCAAGGAGCTCAAGGGGGTGTCCATGGTTCTCCCCCTAATATAATCTCCACAACAACCCTGTGAGGTAGATTAGGCTGAGAGGCAAGGACTGGTCCAAGGTCATCCAGTGAGCTACATAGTCGGGGGTGGGGGGTGGGGTCTTGAACCTTGGTCTCCTGGGTCCTAGTCCAACACTCTAATCATTGCACCACTCTCTTCCTATTTCTAGCAACCTGGAAATTATTAGGTGTGAGGATACATGGCTGTTTTTAAACGTTCTCAGATGTTTTTAACATCTAAATATTTTGTTAGTTTTTGTGTTGTCTTGTTTGCCTCCCTGGACTCCTTTGGGAGGATGTACTAGATACAAATTTAAACAATAAATAATGGTTTGGGCTCCGGATAACAAAATTTCGTGTTTATTTGTTCCTACCCCACCTTTTCAAATAAAATTCCTCCCAATGTGGCATATGTAGAGGTAGGGCAAATTAATACAGGCTTGATGGAAAGATGAGGGGGATCCAATTTTCCCATTACGTTCCTTAGCAACTCCAGCTGGCTTTTAGCCATCCGCACTTTTAAGCTACCTTTCCATCCCTCTGCCATACGGGGCACACATGTGACTGCTTTGCTAATTACTCCACAATTGCATGCATATATAAATATCTATTCCACACTGACCTCTACCTCTCTTTCCCTTTGCTGCTGCTGCTCTTCATTTTCCCCATCTTCAGCTTCTTCTTCTTCATCCTCTGAAACCACTGAGTTTGAGACAATGACAGGAGTCCAGCGTAGGCATTCTGGATCTACAACTACAGGCCGGAGATTCAGTTTCAGCTTTGCCATGTGGTCTTGGATAAGCTTCTCCCGCCGGACAATCACAAATCTGAGAATGAGGAAAAAATGATTCAGCCAAATTTTGATGTTTAAGTACAGGTAACAAACGTACGGACGCAGGGAGGAAGAGTGACCAGAGGAGGATGCCCAAAAGACTGTCACATTACTAAGCAGCTGCCATAGTCTGTTGCATCAAGAAGCAAACAGATCAAAACAGCATTTGAGGTGCACAAATAGGTTAAAGTCAGCTCCAAAATTCCTACAGTGACTCATGTTACAGGTAGGTAGCCATGTTTGTCTGCTGTAGTCGAAACAAAATACAAGAATTTCTTCCAGCAGCACCTTAGAGACACACATGCACACGAAAGCTCATACCAATAACAAACTTAGTTGGTCTCTAAGGTGCTACTGGAAGAAATTCTTTGATTTTGTTTCGACTACGGTGACTCATGTGAAGTTTTGAAAAAAAGTTGTGTAGGACATTTCTTTCTCACTTCCGTTTGAAACTTGCAGCCCAGAATCAAACTGAGATGACACTAGAACTGATGCAGACTGCAAGGTAATGAAGAATCATTAAAGGCAGCTAAGCATCTGTTGCAGGAAAAGAAAATATATCTACCAGTTTTCCTGGCTTCTTGTGCCTCAGGCTGAAGGCATTGGAAGGCTCTTAGTGCCTTGGCTGAAACTGCAACAATCTCAAAACCCAAAATCCTGCAATGCAATGATTGTGTTTTAGCAATAAAAATAAGCTCCAAAGCCAAAAAGCTTGAGCTGAGCTTCTGAATCTCAGGTTTGATTTAATAAAATGCACATTTCTATCCCTATTGTTTGAAAATGTGCTGATGTCTCAGAAATCAAAGTAAATCAGCATATTAATCACATGGTAGTGTTTATATCCCCTTGCAATGCTAAAATTATAGTAAATAAAAGAAACATGCAAATTTGATTGATCTGCAGGATTTAGAACAATTACAGAATTCAGCTGCTTTTGGTGAAGAATTCTGATTGCCTGAGTACAGAATTACTTTTTAGTTAGCCTTAATTATGAGAATAAGCAATTGCGTTTTCAGCAGAAGTGACAGATTTAGTTTGCTTCAGTGGGGCTTGTACTCTTCTGTTCAATGTACTCAACACAAGGTCTGTACATGTTATGAAAATGTTTCCTGTTGCCATTAGCTATGCTGGAGGGTGGAGGGAGCAGTTGGACAAGGCCCTGAATGCCTGCACTGTGACTACTAGAAATTTTGGGACAGACAGATGAAGAAAATACTAGAGAATGTTTCAGCTATATGGGATCATTGGTCTTACCTGAAAGAAATTTCTCTATGCATGTAAATATAGTCTCAGTTGAGATGTGAGCTGCCCCATGTGTTTTATGGCATAAACACAAATTGTTTCAAAAGCAGTTAAATTGTCTCTTTCCCTCTGTAGCACTAGTTTTTGTTCATGACAAAGCTTAAGAGCGGAAATGTTACACAAAAGAAACAAAAACACAGACAAGCATTCAACTGCACAAACGCCATTGTTCCCATGACAAACTCACACCCCAGTAGGCACTGTAAAATACAGAGTGCAGCCCAGAGACCATCACTACATGCACAGATATTTTTTTCAGTAAAGACCAGCAGTCCCTTCTCTTGTGCATGTAAGATGGTCTCAGATGGAGTGTCCAAAAGTGTACCCATGTAGGGAAGGCTTTAGCTGCCTATTGGTCTAGGAGTCCGTGCTGCAGCACTTTTCTCCCCAAAGCTGACTCAGCCAAGGCATATAAATCCATTTTGTAAATGTGTAGCAACCTCCTGAAGAGGTCTGCTCATTTGGCCCCTGCCCCAGTAGCTGAGTGTGCAGTAATTTTAGATGGTGGCATCAAGTGCAACACATTATATGGCATATTTATTCAGACCCTAACTCACTAAGACCAAGTGGAATTTGAAACTCTCTTTCCTAATCCAAATAATGACTGTCTAAATGGCTTTGTACATGCAATGTGAATCTTCAAAGATCTTCTCACATCCAGAGAATGCCATGCCTTCTCTGTAGGATGTTCAGGTGAAGGACAAAAAGTTGGAAGATTGAGCTCTTACTGTCCGTGAAAATGTGTATTGATTTTCAGACTAAAAGAAGAATCAGTCTGTAATACTACTTGGTCTTGATACAGTACATAAAGGTGTTTGGCTACCGATAGCGTATTCAGTTGAGAAACTTGCCTTGCTGAAGTAACAGTGTTAAGAAATACAACCTTAATTGGTAACAAATGTAGAGACTGATTTAAAATGTTTAAATGCTGGTCATTGCAGAGTCTTTAGCTCTGTATGCAATTCCACCTGGGGTACGGGTGGATTTATTATTGCAGCCTCTTTAAGAAACTAAGGAAAGGAAGAGCACCTAAAGAAAGCTCCTGAATGTCAGACAAGACAGACCACGATGCTGATGACAATCTTCACAATGTGTTGGGGTGTAAGTCCTTTGCGGGGGGGGGGGGGCAGAAAATCTCTAATGCTAGCCCTATCCAGCTGCACTCGATTCTGCTTGCACCAGTGCAGAAATGCTGACGATGCTGAACGATAAACACAAATTGGAGAAGGATATCTTGAGGCTAGAATAAGGTAAAGGTAAAGGTACCCCTGCCCGTACCGGCCAGTCTTGACAGACTCTAGGGTTGTGCGCTCATCTCACTCTAGAGGCCGGGAGCCAGTGCTGTCCGAAGACACTTCCAGGTCACGTGGCCAGCGTGACGAAGCTGCTCTGGTGAGCCAGCACCAGCGCAGCACACGGAAATGCCGTTTACCTTCCCGCTATAAAGCGGTACCTATTTATCTACTTGCACTTAAGGGTGCTTTCGAACTGCTAGGTGGGCAGGAGCTGGGACCGAACGACAGGAGCTCACCCCGCCATGGGGATTCGAACCGCCGACCATGCGATCAGCAAGTCCTAGGCGCTGAGGTTTTACCCACAGCGGCACCCGCGTCCCGCGTGAGGCTAGAATGGTGTTCACCAAATCTGAAGGCAGGCACTTAGAATCATAGAATCATAGAATCATAGAGTTGGAAGAGACCACAAGGGCCATCGAGTCCAACCCCCTGCCAAGCAGGAAACACCATCAGAGCACTCCTGACATATGGCTGTCAAGCCTCTGCTTAAAGACCTCCAAAGAAGGAGACTCCACCACACTCCTTGGCAGCAAATTCCACTGTCGAACAGCTCTTACTGTCAGGAAGTTCTTCCTAATGTTTAGGTGGAATCTTCTTTCTTGTAGTTTGGATCCATTGCTCCGTGTCCGCTTCTCTGGAGCAGCAGAAAACAACCGTTCTCCCTCCTCTATGTGACATCCTTTTATATATTTGAACATGGCTATCATATCACCCCTTAACCTCCTCTTCTCCAGGCTAAACATGCCCAGCTCCCTTAGCCGTTCCTCATAAGGCATCGTTTCCAGGCCTTTGACCATTTTGGTTGCCCTCCTCTGGACACGTTCCAGTTTGTCAGTGTCCTTCTTGAACTGTGGTGCCCAGAACTGGACACAGTACTCCAGGTGAGGTCTGACCAGAGCAGAATACAGTGGCACTATTACTTCCCTTGATCTAGATGCTATACTCCTATTGATGCAGCCCAGAATTGCATTGGCTTTTTTAGCTGCCGCGTCACACTGTTGGCTCATGTCAAGTTTGTGGTCAACCAAGACTCCTAGATCCTTTTCACATGTACTGCTCTCAAGCCAGGTGTCACCCATCTTGTATTTGTGCCTCTCATTTTTTTGCCCAAGTGCAATACTTTACATTTCTCCCTGTTAAAATTCATCTTGTTTGTTTTGGCCCAGTTCTCTAATCTGTCAAGGTCGTTTTGAAGTGTGATCCTGTCCTCTGGGGTGTTAGCCACCCCTCCCAGTTTGGTGTCATCTGCAAATTTGATCAGGATGCCCTTGAGTCCATCATCCAAGTCGTTGATAAAGATGTTGAATAAGACCGGGCCCAAGACAGAACCCTGTGGCACCCCACTAGTCACTCTTCTCCAGGATGAATAGGAACCATTGATGAGCACCCTTTGGGTTCGGTCAGTCAGCCAGTTACAAATCCACTGAGTGGTAGCATAGCCAAGTCCGCATTTTACCAGCTTCTTTACAAGAATATCATGGGGCACCTTATCAAATGCCTTGCTGAAATCAAGGTAGGCTACATCCACTGCGTTCCCTTCATCTACCAGGCTTGTAATTCTGTCAAAAAACGAGATCAGGTTAGTCTGACATGACTTATTTTTTAGAAATCCTTGTGTTCACTTGGTCAGGTTCAACCACAAAAGGTGTTGAGGAAGCAATGGCCCTTGTGACAGAGCGTTGCATCTTCCTGGAAGATGCCAGGTGGTCACAGCCAGTGGAACAACCTCTGAGAAACAAGGTCTCCTTCGCCAATTCCCTTTGAATAACTGTCTGACATTGCCTTCTCAGCAGCTCATCCTCTGACAAAGCCTCATCAAGGATTGTGAAAACTGCTGTGCCCTCTCAATGCCACAACTGGACAAGGATTGAGACTGGGGCTTCTGCAGGGGCTTCCCTGCCATTACTTCTCTGCCTTTACACACTGACTGCTCCCACAAAAGGCAGTGGCAGCTGACCTGGGGTGAGCTAGCTAAGCCCTGATAAATTCACAAACAGTGGCTACTGCCTACCTAGGAAGCACCAGAACTGCAGCTGCTGCCGACATGAAGCCTTTCATGCTCGGTCCCCTCAGGGATCCACATAATGGCAGCAGTTAAATTAGGTGTTATGCTTGCTGCCACAGATGCTTCCAGGTCTCTTGTGTGCTGGTGCTTCCTTATTAACTTCCATGCTGCTACTGCAGGTGCTGACAGTCTCTAATTATTTCCCCCCAAGCCAGAAAAGGTATGGGGCAAAAATAACCGCAACATGGGAGACAGGATTGTAGGGAGACAGACTGTTAGAAAACCAGGAAGAACTGAACAGACACAAAATGGTGGGGTGGGTTTTTGTTTTTTGTATTTAAGCAGCACATGGGGAGGAAAATGGGCTGGGCCTAAACTTAAACAGAACATGTGCAGAAGGCGGCAACCAAGATGATCAAAGGTCTGGAAACCAAGCCTTCTGAGGAGTGGTCGAAGGAGCTGGGTATGTTTAGCATGGAAAAGAAGAGACTGAGAAGAGATATGAGAGCCATCTTCAAATATCTCAAGGGCTGCCACATGGAAGATGGAGCAAGCTTGTTTTCTCCTGCTCAAGAGGAGCAATGGCTTCAAGTTACAAGAAAGGAGATTCCATCAAGAAGAACTTTCTAACAGTAAGAGCTGTTTGACAGTGGAACATACTCCCTCAGGAGGTTGCAGACTCTCCTTCCATGGAGGTTTTTATGCAGAGGTTAGGATGGCCATCTGACATGGACACTTTAGCAGATATTCCTGCATTGCAGGAGGTTGGACTTGATGACACTCGGGTCCCTGCCAACACAATTCTATGATTCTATGAAAAAGGTAAAAAACAGACTGTTATAGAAGAGTGGCAGATGAAAATGATGGACTTTGCGGAACTGGTGAAGCTGACGGGGAAATCCAAAACTAGCATGACCAAGTATTCCAAAAAGACTGGAGTAAATTTACACAATATTTGAAAGATCATTGTATGCAATTAACAACATTAGTAGGGTTATCTGAAGACTTGCAATAAGAAATTTTTTACCCTTCTACTTTTATTTAAACTTTGAGGTATTTTGTAATGAGTTATATTAGAATTGGAAAATATATAAAATGCTGTGATATGAAGGTTACTTTTGAAAGCCAAGAGGTGGGAGGGAAGGAAGTCTATAGCCTAGACAACCAAAGAAGTTAAGTGGATAATAATGATGTGACTATATATTTTTAAATGGAAAATAAAAAATATTTTTTAAAAAACGGACTGTTAAATCACACACACAAACAGTTCACACTGAGTGAGCCCAACACACACCAGGGGAAAACTATTTCCTTAATAGGCAAGTCACACATACTTCAAGGGCCCCACCATAAACTCCTCAACACCACAATCACAGCAGGCAATGCCAACAAGTAAGAGAAAAGAGGAGCTTCAGAGTCAGCAAAAAAGACACGAGGGACTGGCTTCAGCAGTGGCTTGAGTCAGGCAAGAATTAAAACTGGCGCTTCAGAGGGAGAGAAACTGTTTAACTGCCTTTAAGCAAGTCAGTGTTTGCACCATCAAGCACTAGGCACTAGGCTGAGTTCATGCCCCACCTGAGACCATCTTGCTTGCACGGGAGAATGTCCCCATCCCTCTACAGAGGGATGTGATTTTCATTAGCCTGCTTTGATATTACTTTTGATCCACCTTGAAAAGATCCATATCCTGAAATGCAGAATGTGACTATAGTAAATAAATTATGCAATCCCTCTGCTTCCCACATTCTAAAATTGCCCTCACTTTAAAAGCAGTGTACCAGAACAGTAAGGGTTAGAAATTTGGATGATTTGAGTTTCTGTCCCCCTTAAGAGGAAGCAGAGTTTTACACCCAAAACTACTGCACTTTTGCAGTGCTTCCACTGAAATCTACCATTGGGCACAGCCATGTCTTTAATTATGACCCTGCCATTTCTGGCCCTCCAATTCTACGATGCTCACTGATCATTTCGGAAATCCAGCATTCGCAGGTGATGCAGGGTGGAAGTGATGTCTTGAGGGCAGATGCCGGTCAGCTTGCTTAGCTTCTTGATGCTGAGTTGCTTGTCATTTTGGTGATAAAGGCACTCCAAGATTACGCTTTTCCAATAAGCCATGTAAGAGAGACGACCCAAATCTGATAGCGGCTTCTCTGGGGATCCTGCTTGGCCTTCACGCTTTGATAGGAGATAACCTGAGAGAAAGCAGAAAACACTTAGGACTGGGCTCTGTACGGAAGCTAGCCTACCCCTGTTTGGGTATCTGCTCCTTATTCAGCTATAGGGTCAGGCACTCTGACTGGAATTTAAGTCAACAAAAACAGCCAATGGCTCTCACAGGACCTGGAAGCTCTTCTCTCCAGAGGTCACCAGCATTTCCCGCCCCCTTCCAGACAGAGGTAGCTGCCTGTACAAGGAGATACATAATTCTAATCTGTGCTGAAGGCATTTTGAATTTTTCAGAAACATGGACAGAAATGTAGAACACCCTCCAATTAAGACCTTTGATTTCGGAAAAGGTCAACCAACCCCCCCCCCCCCCCAGCCACCAAGAAGTGTTTCAGCACCAATTCCCATGGGATCATGGAAGCAAAGGCTGGTAAATCAGTGGGAAAGGTCTTGCAGGCTACAATATGTCTGACTGTAATTGGATATAAACAGTGCCACTAGGTGGCAGATTTTTTTCTGTTACAGTGAAAAAAGTGAAACTTGCAAAAAAATATTGCAGAGCAGAGCTCCTCCTGTTCAGGGTTGTGGTCAACAAATCATGGCCTTTTCCCCCTGACCCCCCCCCCCCCCGGCCACAGTTGCCACTAAGCCTTCTCATTCTTCACACAGTTGTTTGGGGAATTTCCCCCCTTCCTTTTGTTCCCCACCCTCTATTGATTGTTTGCCTTTCTGCAAACCTTAAGGTTTCCTCCCTCTTCCTAAAGCATACCTCTCTCTTGTTTTTTAGCAGCTCCATTTTGGCCATCATCCCGTTGGCACTTGCCAGCTGAGCTTGCTAGGAGAGGCAAGAACAGATAGGTGGGGCCTCCAAACGGCCACAACCAATGACATGACCAAACCACTTTAGACCATCCTAATGAAGCAGTTGCTAATAGAGGATGTGCGTGAACTCTATCATGGTTAATTAGGGAAATTAGATGTTCCAAGAATTATTTCAAACATAAATGGCACCTTGTATTATTAGGTGCCCAAATAATGGGCATTGTAACTCTGAACAGGGGAACACATTATGTATTACTGGAAATTAAGAGCAATTTTACAGGACTAGAAATGTAGATTCTGTATAGGTATGCTCAAAACAACAACGTATACCTCTGTGGACAGGGAATCCAAACATATTTTGATCCCATTTTCTGGCAAACTCCCTCTAGGTCAACACAAGATGGTTTTGGAACTGGAAATCCAGGCACTTCTTTATCTCAAATGCTTAATTTATCCAGAGTATTTTGGTCAAATTATGTTTTCTTGGCCCTCTTACTATTTTTAGTACTTCCCACAGTACTTCTCTCTTTCACTCCTGCTGTGTGAACACAGGGCTGACTCTGTCGATTCACTCATCCTTGCTAGATCCAGAATACAACTATTAACTGACTCACTTTTTAATCAGACATGTTATTTTTACCTTTGCTACCTCTACATATGCCTTCATCTCCTTCTCTTCCCTTACTTTCCAGAGAATGATCCAAAAGCCACTGATGTGAGCGACTTTATAGCAGATCTCATGTGGACCCTAGTCCACAAAAGTATATGCCAAAATGTATTTGTAATGCATTTATCATGCCACAAGGCTGCTGTCATGTAACAGGGTGATCTAGCCAAGCCTTCTGGTTTGAAGCAAGTTGTCTAACAGATACTCGTGAAATATATAGGTGATATGAAGCTTCTGTCGGCCATGGGAAACCCATTCAGTTCACACTCCCTATGACTTGTCCTCATCAGCAGGCAAGTTTCAGGGTTACATTCTAGCTGCTACTTTCAAAAACAGGCCTGGAGGATCCTCCTGCTCCTGTTCTACAGGTGTTGCTGGACTACAACGACATTTTTTGGCCCCTGGCCATGTGGCTGATGGGAATGTCAGCCCAGAGACATCTGGAGAGACACAGGGTTTCTCTGTAGGTGATCCCAAGGATACTACATTACGTTAGTCAAGCTTTGAAGTTATGAAGTCCAAGGGCTGCCACAAGATACCACTGTGAGGACTAAAAGGCAGGTGCAACTTGATTTTCCAGGTGCAGAATTCACCAAAGATGCTCTTCCGCCCAGGTAGCAGGGCTCACCATTCACCTGTCTGTTTAAAAATTCTGTTTGAATCAACTCCCTCCACTCTTCATTTGTAAGTTCAAATACAAAACCAACCAACCTTCATAATCCGCTGACTTTTCACAAACCTTCAACTTGCACATCAGTCTCAGCAATGTGATAGTAAAGCAAATGAAGGAGCTACTGTCTCAAGCTACTGTCTCAAGCAGTTATGTAAACTAAGCATTAAAGCAGACTCTACATGGGCAAACTTTTGCATTAAAAGAATGCTAATGAAAGGGTTTTGCTGCTGGAAGTTCTTTAGCAGGGATGGGGAACCTATGGCTCTGCAGATGACCTCTGACTCCCATCAGCCCCAGTCAGCATGACCAATGGTCAGAGCCAGAGGTCCCCTCGTCCAGTTCTACAGTACATGTGTTTTTTCCTGACGATGAGTGAGTGAGCATCAGCATTCCTATAAGAGTGAATAATGTGGGCCTCACTCCTCCCCAAATGGGAAGGTGCCCATCAGAAGTGATGGTCAGTGATAAAAATAGAATATAAAAGATAGAAGGACTTGGCGAAAGGTAGTTAGCTTAGCTTTGGAACTGGCTCTTTGCTTTCCCTCCAGGAAGCAACGTGGCTGTATTCCCTTTGCGTTTGATGCCACTGCCATTTGAGTCCTCCAGAAAACGCACCTTGCTGCTTTGTTTTCCTTTATGCGACGGTCCTATAAGCTTTAAGGATATATATGCCTTTGTTCCTTTGTAATATTAATATTTTTCTTGAATATTTAGTACAAAACTAATTTGAACAGAAAAATGGAAATTCTATATTTAATGCCTACATTTCCACAAATTATAGAACTCAAATTAGCCATGTATACTGAGATACGTTCATTTTTCAGACATTTATAATGGGAAATTAAACAGCAGCAGCTGCACAGATATGTCATAACCACCAGTAAAGGTAAAGGTAAAGGTAAAGGGACCCCTGACAATTAAGTCCAGTCGCGAAGGACTCTGGGGTTGCGGCGCTCATCTCACTTTACTGGCCGAGGGAGCTGGTGTTTGTCCACAGACAGCTTCCGGGTCATGTGGCCAGCATGACTAAACCGCTTCTGGCGAACTAGAGCAGCGCACAGAAATGACGTTTACCTTCCCACAGGAGCGGTACCTATTTATCTACTTGCACTTCGTGCTTACGAACTGCTAGGTGGGCAGGAGCAGGGACCAAGCAACGGGAGCTCACCCCGTCAAAGGGATTCGAAACTGCCAACCTTCCGATCGGCAAGCCCAAGGCTCAGTGGTTTACACCACAGCATCAGTAGTGCCAGCTAAAAATGTTTTGCTGTCTGCAGTAAAAGGCAAGATGGTGCCCACTTCCACTGAACACACAGAAGCCAGCCTGACTGGCAACTTAAACTTATTTCCGCACCTAGCAACAGCACAGCAACCTCTACCACATCAGAAAGCTTTGGGGTGCAAGGCAGGCTTTGAGGCGCACACAGCTCCCTCCTCTAATAGGGCCAAGTGGTCAGGGGGCTCAGAAGAAATGGGTGCCCTCACCAGACCCAGCACCTGCTGCTTGAGGCAGCTGCCTTGTTCAGGGCTGGCCCTGATGGTCCGCTTTACTCTCTTCTGAAAGAAGAAACCCATCGACTGATGTAGTAGATTTGCAAACTGGTCACTTTCCCTAATCAGGTTGTATTTCAGCCAAAACGCATAATAAATTTATGCTACTGTTTGTCAATAAATTCACACAAATATATGGTCAAATAAATAAGAAGTGGGTCTTCAAATGCTACAGGTGAGTCCCAGGAGTGAAAAGGGTAAAGACTACTGGTAAATGATTTGATGTGTTTGTTAGCCACTTTGCACGATGTAGTGGAAAAGACAGGATATAAATAGCCTTTTAAACATACAAATAAAATTTCTGCCTCTCCACATGGCTAGGAAAGCAGGGAAGAAGAGCAAGTTCTGAAGTGCCATCTTAGATGTCCTTGTGGGCTGAAGTGTGATGGGGGGGGGGGCTTGTGTGCAAGCATCTGGGGTGCAAGAAAGCAGTTGGGAAAAGGATGCTGGCCAGAATCCCAAAAAGTAGGCATTTCAGATAATTAATGCTCTTGAAATAAAGTGCTGGGGAATTGCATGGTTTCATAAACTTTAACCTGAAGCTGAAGAGAAAGGCAGAAAAATGAGAATATGCTTACTGAAATCAATGAGGAACCTGCCATAGCCCTTGCGCTGGTACTGGGGAAGAATCATTATGCAGGAAACATTGTATTTCTGCTGGCAGTGCTTCTCCTAGTAAGAGAGACACACACACACACAAACACAGAAGATTAGCAAGATGGAAAAGAACTTCTTCTCGATGAGGAATTAATTGGGGTAAATCACAATCACCCCAAAAGCAAGTCTCCAAGGAAAGAACACAAGGCATTATCAAGCCACTGAACCTCTGCGATCACAGCCAGGAAGGAAAAGGAAGAAAGAACTGTCACTGAGCACACAAAGTTTCTTTCTGTAAACCTGTATCATTCATGTACCTAGTGCAGTAATATCTACCACTCCAAGTGACAGTGGTTCTCCGGGGTCTCAGTCACATAAGCCCTCCCAGTCCTGCTACCTGTGATCCTTTTTAGTTAAAGATGCTCAAGAATGAACCTGCACCACTACCAGAATTATGGCCCCTCCCCTGTAATACATCATTTCAGGACCTTGTACTTACAGCAAACTTCTCTCCCTACTTCTCTACAAAGGGCTTTTCAAATCCTCAGAGATTTCCAAAGCAATAAAGAACCTTTGTGGGGGGTGGGGGTAAGACAAAATAAAAGTCCATCTGCAGGTGGGCTTGTGGGGGGGGGGTAGGATGGCCATAGATTAAGGCTACATTATTTCCTTTTCTGAAAGTGTTGAAGTAAAAAACAACTTCTTTTTTTGGGGGGGGTGTTAAGACGGGCCTTTCAAAGTAACTCTCTGTCCCTGTGTGAGGAATACTAAAGCCACATTCAGCCTCCATGGTCTCTTTCCCAAAATGCAAACAAAAGATCTGAAATGAGATCAGCATCTGATTTGGGAAGCAAGCTCATTGGAGGTAACAATTAATGTTTACTTCACCAACTAACTCTCCTCCTCACCACCCAAGGGACTAAGAAGTCATTTAAAACCCTCTCCCCTCAGAGCTGCCAGGCTGGAATTCATGCTCCTTAGAGAATACACTCTGTTCAACAGCATAAAAAAGAAAGCTGCTTTGATTAACTGCTTCAATTCATAGAATCATAGAGTTGGAATAGACCACAAGGGCCATCGAGTCCAACCCCCTGCCAAGGAGGAAACACCATCAGAGCACTCCTGACATATGGTTGTCAAGCCTCTGCTTAAAGACCTCCAAAGAAGGAGACTCCACCACACTCCTTGGCAGCAAATTCCACTGTCGAATTCCCTGGATTCTGCTTATGCAGAACTTTAAAGGCTGTTTGGAACCCATAAAATTATACCCATCACTTCAGAAGTGTGACTGGACACTAGTTTGGTTAGATCCACTACACTAAGGAGGGAGAAAATTTAGATCTGCTGAAAAATGACTTTCAGTTTACGCACAATTCAAATCCAATTATATTTTCTTGGATACGAGTCATACCAGTGTGAATAGACTTTTCCAGAGGTATAGCCAGTCTTATCACACACAAGACTTGACAGGAAGAAGAAAAGAAAGTTTATAGTCTTTTTGCACACACTAGGTATTTGGCCATAGTCAGGGTTGTGTGTATGAAGCAAATCCACACAAGCACAAAAAAGTGTGGAATGCAATTTTGGGTGCAGAATTCAGTTTACTGAGAGTTTCAGTCTCAAAAAGACATTCCCAGCCTTTTTTCTTTTAAGTGCAAGCATAGGCATGGGAAAGTGTATGGCCAAAGCTCCTGCACATGTCAGCAGGAAAAGTTCCAGGAGTTAAGCAAGGGCCTGTAGTGCCTTGTGCCTCTCCTCGTGATTAGCAAAAACAGAGCAATCAATTAAGCAAAAGCTTAAGAATCCAGCTTTTCACCACCCAATATTTGGATTAACTTGGTGCAGATTTTTTTAAAAGTGCATGATAGATATGCTCCTGGTTTATAGTTCCCTTAGGTATTGTCAGGACACCAACAGAACACCAACAAGTGGAAATCCCCCCACCGCTCACCTTGGAGAAATAGCCAACCAGGTGGCAACCCTTCATGTCATTTTGCGTCAGCACATAGAAGAGAAATGGCTCCACATCATAATAGAGCGTCTTGTGATCCAGGAAGAGTTTTGCTAATAGACACAGGTTCTGGCAGTAAATGGTACTGACGTTGCCATCCACCTTAGAAAAATGGAGAACAGGTCAAGACACTATCCCTCATGAACTGCTAGCAGGCCACAACACAAAGTGATCTGCTTAAATCAAGTAGGATTATACCAAACAGAAACAAACCATCTAAGGACTTGTAGCTTCAAGAACTAAAGGATGCAGCCTGAGGTAAGTAGTCACTTTGAGGAGAAGCCCAAAGCGGCCAGCGCTCCTCACACTACCAACCTTTTCCTAAGAGGGATGTACAACATAAAATGCCAATACACTTCTGTTTTGCAGCCAATCATTACTGAATGGAATGAAAAAAAATTCCTTCCAGTAGCACCTTAAAGACCAACTAAGTTAGTTCTTGGTATGAGCTTTCGTGTGCATGCACACTTCTTCAGATACACTGAAACAGAAGTTGCCAGATCCTTCTATATATGCATGCACACGAAAGCTCATACCAAGAACTAACTTAGTTGGTCTTTAAGGTGCTACTGGAAGGAATTTTGTTTTGTTTTGACTATGGCAGACCAACACAGCTACCCATCTGTAACTGAATGGAATGAGACACTCATGAAATATTACAAAAGTAAGACAGTTCTGGGTTGTTGTTTTTTAAAAACTGGACTGCCCTCAGCCTCCCAAAGAGGGGATTCTAGCCATGATTAGAGCCCATTACAAGGGAATTAGGTTCCTACAACAGTTCTTCTCTGGGAAGCTCACAGCAGGTTATGCCCCAGAGATTCAGGCAGGGACATAAACAGCAGCTAATAATCTTTGACACTTACCTCAAAGACTGAAACATTGCTCTTCCTGTAAATTTCATTGGCTGGGGGATGAAACCAGCCACACTTCTTCATGTGTTGCTGAAGGATAGTTCTGCTTTTCATATACTTAAGACAGAATTCACAAATGTACAGCTTAGGCAGCCTGCAAGATTAAAGGCATGGATGCATTGAGCAGTTTTGCAAGGTTACAACTTGAGGCAATCAGTACTGTTATCTCTACTGTGGCAATTCCCATAAAGGTCCATTGTCTTAAAGCTGGGTATACAGGAGGCAATATAGAAACAAAAAAAGCATAAGAGCAGGTTAAAATGTGTATTTGGTTGGATTCAGTTACTGAGACTGAGGGTCTTAACAAAGACCTCTTAGGATTACTTCTAGCCCAAAGTTTACCAAGGGTGTCCATCACTGGATATGAAGGGACCCCGTAGGCCCCTTTCCAGTACTGTCCCTCCACCCCTTAATTTATGCAACTGGCAACTGGAACATACATAGGAAGCTGCCTATTATCAAGTCAGACCTATTGGCCCATCTAGCTCAGTATTACTTCCACAGGGGCCTTCCTGAATCTACCTGGAGATGCTGGTGATGAAACCTGGAACCTCCTGTATGCAAAGCAGATGCTGTACCACTGAGCTATGACCCTCCCCATCATACAAATTTCAATAAAATAGAAATTCCGCTCTTCTGTTTCTTTGCTGCACGGCACAGAAAATAAAGAACACTTACATCTACAAAATGTTTAATAAAACAAAGTCTTTCAGTATGTTAATCCCAAAGATAGGAGGAAGCTCAGCTCTGATTATTCCGAATACTTCTTTCAGTTATCACTAAATATTGTCTGGTTTTCCTTGGTTATAAGTAGAGCAGATCTGTACCTATACTGTATGTGAAGATGATCAGAGAAACGAGGAACCCAACACAATTTGACATGCTGACATTTCTGTGCTTGTGTTTGTTTAAAAACAAGTTGCCAACTCTCACAGTTGCAAATGCAATGCCTTTACTTCAAGAAGAAAATCAGTGGCAGAAGGATCTGAGGGGGGAATCCTGTGTCTCCAATCCTTGCTACTATTTTTGCACACCAGCCACTACACTCAAATTTCCATGCTCTTTGCTCTTTCCTCCCCCCCCCCTGCCACAGTGCTTACTAAAATATATTAATTCTTTGATAGCTTCAACCTTAAAAAAAAATGCTACACAAGCAAATACCTATGTATATAATATATACATTGCATGATTTAACTTGGTTACACATTTGGTTTGTTCAGAGGACATCCAGTCCTAATTTTAAGGAAGAGCATGTCTTTACAGTATGAGCTTGTCAGGCTTAACACATAGTTACACTTTATTTCCTACTCTTGCTAAACATTCAGCTGCATAACGTAAACTGTATAATAGAGAGGAGGCCTGTGTTGTACCTGGAATACTCTTGTGGGTATGGAGAGGAATACCAGGTGTGGATTTCATATTTCCCAAACTCGATGACTGATGGACAGCGGACTTGTGGATCAGGGGCTCCTGTTACTCCTACTTTCTGTAAAAGAAACAAATATCTCTACAAGTTAACAACAACAAAAGCACTACTTAACAGATCCAGAAATCCAGGAAAGAAGGAAAAGCTTTGGAATAGCACAGTTTTCTTCCACTGAACTACAGTGGTACCTCGGGGTTAAGAACTTAATTCGCTCCGGAGGTCCATTCTTAACCTGAAACTGTTCTGAACCTGAAGTACCACTTTAGCTAATGAGGCCTCCTGCTGCTGCCGTAGCATGATTTCTATTCTCATCCTGAAGCAAAGTTCTTAACCCGAGGTACTATTTCTGGGTTAGCGGCGTCTGTAACCTGAAGCGTATGTAACCCGAGGTACCACTGTAATTCACAAAGCAAAAAATATAAAGCCAGGTGTGCTAGTAAAAATGCTAGTCCAATCCGTCTTAGCATTATGCTTGCCTGTTAAGAGTAATCTAAAGGAATTACCATATTTTTCGCTCTATAGGACGCACCCGACCATAGGAAGCACCTTGTTTTAGAGGGGGAGAACAAGGGGAAAAAATTCTCCCCCTCTCTGCTCAGTGTGCCTTCAGCGAAGCGGCAGGAGAAACGGAGCCCCTTCCATTTCTCCTGCCGCTTCGCTGAAGGGGCGCTGCACAGAGAGGGGGAGAATTTTTTTTCTTGTTCTCCCCCTCTAAAACAAGGTGCGTTCTGCGCATTCAAGGTGCGTTCGCCTGAAGCCTCCGGAGCGCAGCGGACATTCCCGCTGCGCTCCAAAGGCTTCAGGCGGCTACCTTGGAAGCCTGGAGAGCGAGAGGGGTCGCTGCGCACTGCCCCTCTCACTCTCCAGGCTTCAGTGAAGGCAACCCGAAGCCTCAGGAGCGCGGCGGGAGTTCCCGCTGGGCTCCGGAGGCTTTGGGTTCCTTTCAACCTGGTCTTTGGGGCTGGCGGGGGGAAGCGCTGCTTTCCCCCACCGCAAGCCTCAAAGACCAAGTCAGGGAGCAGCGCAAAGGCTGCATGCAGCCTTCCCGCTGCCCCCCAGCTTGTGGGGCTGGCAGTGGGGTGAAGCACTGCTTTCCCCCACCGCCAGCCTCAAAGATTCCGGAAGCCTTTGGAGCGCAGACTCTCCTGGCTTCAGCGAAAGGAACCTGAAGCCTCCGGAACACAGAGAGAATTCGCGCTGCGCTCCCAAGGCTTCAGGCGGCTATCCCTGAAGCCTGGAGAGCAAGAGGGGTTAGTGCGCACCGATGCCTCTCGCTCTCCAGGCTTCAGCGAAAGCAATGCGAAGCCTCTGGAGCACGGAGGGAGCGCTCCCTCTGCGTGTCGGAGGCTTCGCGTTGCTATCGCTGAAGCCAAGGAGCCTGCATTCACTCCATAGGACGCACACACATTTCCCCTTAGTTTTTGGAGGGGGGAAAGTGCGTCCTATAGAGCGAAAAATACGGTAATAGCCACTTAATAAATCCAAGGAAATAAGTGACTCCTGAAAAAGCAAAAGGGAGGGAAGGAAGCAGGGGCAGGCAGGCATGTATCCCAAGTGCACCTGTAATAGACAGCACAGAACCTGGTTAGGAACTGCAACAAAAGGCAATGGGTGACCTACAAACCTACAAACAGGGTTTTGTTTTGTGTAAGTTTTCAAAACTCAAGATGCAACACCTCTCTCTCAAGAATATTTACATCAAACCAGAAAAGTGTCACCAAAAGAAATATATAGAAATACCGCAAACTGTATCCTTAAATTCTTCAGAGCACAAGGGTGCTTTTTCGTCCCCGCGGCTCTAAAATTATACAAGGCCAAAACGTTGGCACAGCTCCTTTATGGATCCTTTCTGGGCCCACCTTCCTCTGCTTTCTCCCCCCTTGAGAGAGTTCAATCCAAACTCCTTAGAGCTCTCCTACAAGTCCCCAGATGCATTTCAAACGCATGGGTTAGACTAGAAACGGGGATGATGAGAGTGGAGGCTTCTATCTGCCTAACATCAATCTACAAATGGCTGACACTGAACCTGCTCCCCCGAGGGATAGCCCCACTGATCTTCTGCGACCAATTCCAGTCAGGCTGGCAGACTGCAGTCCTGAACACCCTTCAGAAACTGGGTTTTGCCCCTCAAGCCCTTCTGAGCCTGGGGTTGGGCCAGGCAAAAGTAATGGTTAGGCAAAGAATTATAGACACCGAGAGACAACAGGAGTGCTCAAGGTGCCCAGACTATAAAATTGGAGAAATCGAGAGAGATATAGCCGCACTGGCAGCATATCTCGTCTTTCTCGTATCTAAAAATGCAAGAAGGGCTTTTACACTCGCCAGAAGCTCGGCTCTGCCCTCGCCAGTCCTGGAAGGAGCCTTTTAAAAAGTCCCATATTCTAAGAGATCTTGCGCCTGTTCACTGGGGGAGATAGGAAGCCCAGAACACTTGTTCTTTAGATGTCTCTCTTATGAAGAGGCACGTAGTAAGACCATTGATGGTGAGGCTCGCTAACCTCACAAAAATTTGACCTTTTTAACCTCGCAAATATTTTAACCTCGCAAAAATCTGACATTTTCCTGTTAGGCAAAGATCAGAAGACGACCTGGATGGTTGCCAGATTCTGTGTACAAGTCTGCAGGCGCAGACCATCTCCCAACTCAAACTAGTTTGTTAAGAAAATCCCCACACTCGGTTTCATGGGTGACTCTGGGTCAACTCCCTGTGGTAGTTTATTGTTGTACATTGTTTTAATTGTTTGTTTTCCTTCTGTGACTGTACCCCCAAGTGTGTTTTAAAAGCTGGTCTCCGACCATAATAAATTATCTATCTATCTAGAAATACCCAGATTATGGGAAGCTATCCAGTGGAAGATGCAATGAAATCAAGTATTTCATGTCCACTTATTTCAATGGGTCTATTTTGTGCACAACATAGTTGGGTATCATTCATTAAAAAAAATATGGCAAAGGTGTTTTGCAAGAAGAATCATGGCCATCAACCCTTAAGGAAATTATATTCCTTTGGGGCAATCTGCACACCTCTGGCCTCCATTGTTATTTTTCATGCATGTATAAGGTAAAATATAGCTTTCCCTTTCTACCCACCCCCTCCCCAGACACATTTTCTTCCTTATATACACTATGAAGAATTGAAGATGCTTTGCAAATTACATCTACAAGCAAAGGCTCAGGAGTGAATGGAAGAGAGAAAATGCTGGTTAGACTTCCAACACTCTTTTCTCTCAGTTTACATTGTGTATTGAGAAAAATAAACTATACATTAAAAAGACTTGCTTAGTGGTGATATTACTATTATGTCTTGCATCCTAATACACCTGTAAGTTCTGTAGTGTGTGTTCACATTGAGCTCCTAGTGCTGTTTTTAGTGACAGAAGTATTTCAAATCCCAGGACATTTGGAACATCCAAGTTCTAAACAAGTGCTAAAAGCATTTTCTCTACTGTGGAAGGTCCATCTCTTACCTTCCCTCCCTTTGCACACACCCACATTTCTTCAGCACTACGAAGTCAGTGCAGATAGTCCCTCAGTGGGGGCCAGTTAGGTCAGCTTAGCCAACTCAGAAACACTTGCTTAAAGCAATTTCTTTTCCCCTTTGTTTTTCTATAAACTACAGGGCACTTTTCAATGCTCAGATGCAGGAAGTGACATCTGAGTCTCCTCCTTTCTCTCACACACAGCTCAGTTCAAGTGCAATCCACGCTATACTTAGGTGGTTCAACAAGCCTCACACACCTGCCTCTACCCCTCACTGTAATCCAATTCTTCAATTGGAAAACTATGGACTGTGCTTGCCCTACCCAAGCAGGACTTTAACTCAGTCTGCATGCCTGGTTTGGAGGGCAACTAGAGTTAAAGTCTGCCTCTGTTTGGCTGGAACTGCAAGGTAAACCCCATGTAGTGCAGCATTGTGGCATTGGAGGGAGGGCAGGAGCACCCAACTACAAGTTTTGCTCATAACACTCCAAAATGAGGTTTGGTGGTGCGAGCACCAGTCCTATAATTATAAAATGGGGTGCCATCAGTTCATAAATATTTATACCTGTGGCCCCAAAAACCATGATTTATTCACTGAGAAAAACCATTGTGCCCATGTGTTTTCCACCTCGTCAGACTGCATTTTCAGACTTTGTTTGTAGTCTAAGATTTAACCCAGTTTCCCAGTTTGGAAGTAACAGTAAACAATGGTTTTAACGAACGCTGAAAGTATTTCAGTGCAGTGCAAGAGAAAAAAGAGCATGCAGGTATAACACTCATTCTCAGTCTTATAAACCATAGCATATTTGATTGAAATTTTTTCATCTGTCGGAGAGCCTTGGGGGTAGAATAGAGCAGATAACTTATCCAAATAAAATGGCCTCAGTGACCAAAATGTACCCTTAACACAGACTGCAATGACAGAGAACTTATCCCTGTAACTGTGTAGAAAAAGATTTCTAATTTAATTCACAATATAACAATTGCTAAACAGGAACTGGTGACCAGCCATATGTCTTAAATAATATTCATACAATAGAATTGCTAATCCCAGACAGGACAGCGTTGAAATTACCGTCAGCTCACAGTCTGTTGCCAAACAGAACCACACTGGTTTACATGGAGATTGCTTCCAAGGATGCTCTCAGACCAGCACCTGTGGCACTGCCTTGCATGTTTTGTGCCTTCTGGATGGCCACTGAATTCTCCTCCAAATAGATTGCCTGAGATAAAGGTGGAGTCCCAGTTCCAGTACAACTGCTTGCACATCATAACAGCTCAAAGTCCCATCAAAGCAGACGTCCAACTCCCACAACGGTGGCACACGGCCACAGACCTACTCCCGTCCGGCAGGACGGTCTCTCTCAACAACTCAGCCAGCCATCCCTTGCACCTCTGCTCAGCGTATTCCGATTTGCTCCAGGTGTGGCACCCTGCTCTACTAGATACGCACTGCGTCAGCAGCTCAGCTGAATTTAAACCCAATCCTTGCCAAACTCACACTCACAAGTCTTTGCAAAGTTACGGTATATACAATATCAGCAAGAAAAGAGAACAGTAATATTTATCAGAAGTTGCAAAGAGATGTAGGGCTGCTTAGTAAACTCATGAGCAAGTACTCTGGGATTTTACACCATGCTATATATGCTAAGCAATTACTTTCAAATATCAGAAGTCTACATTGATCAGAGATTAAACTAGTTTGGTGCTGTCTGAAAGGCCTGAAGCTGGCTGACCAAAAAAAAACCTATTACAAAAATAATATATTTGCACCAGCCATTCTAATTTGTGCACAGAGTGCACCTATATAAACACAACTAAATATAAAAGCGTCAATTTCAGAGGACATCATTGTGGTCCTTACTTTAATGGCAGAAGCTAAATATTTGTGGTCTTTGCTGTCACCAGCTTATCTTGGTCTATAAGAGAAGATTCATGTAATAATCAACTAAACCTCCTGGATGAGATAATGATGAGCAGTGTTAGAAATTCAGATATACAAGCCAGGTGCCAAGTGACTTCTTAAACCTTGGTTATGGCCACCACAACGGAATGTCTATTCACCAGGGGGTTGGACTAGATGACCCTAAGGATCCCTTCCAACAATTCTACGCTTCTATGATCTCAACTACATTGTTTGACTGTCCCAATATGTAAGAAGGAGAAATGCAGCAGAAATGGAAAAGATGTAAACTATGGACTAAGGCAGAGGTTTTTAAACTGTGGTTTGTGAGTTCCATTTGGGTGGCCTGTGGAAAGGCTGTAGCACCGTCAAATAGATCTGTATTCAGCCCTGCACTTACTTTCCTTGATGGGATGATGGAGGACTAAGGTGCCCAGCAAGGGGTCTATGATTTGCATAGCCGTGCAGAAGCACAAGACTCACAACTTTTACTGCACCTGAGTCATCTGGCTCGATTGAGACGTCAATCACCAACCTGGCGCCCAGAAATCTCCCTGTAGTTGCAACTGGGACCCTTGCCAATAGCAAACGTGCATGGTGCACAGTGAATTCCGAACACTGGTGATGAGGTGATTACCTCTTTAAGCACATATTTGTAAAAAGAGCATACTAGCAACACATGAGCCTTTGTTTCTGCATTCCCATCAACACATGGATATATATGACCTTGGAATCTTCCTGTTACAGAAATACCAACCAAGCTTTCTTTTCAATTTCTTCATCTGCTTACACCAAAGGTTCTGCTGGCTTTTGCATTTGTCTTCTTCCAGGCAGAGGGTCATCAACACCTCCCAAGAAACAGAACCTATAAGCCCAGTGTTTTCCCAACCTTGGGCCTCCAGCTGTTTTTGAACTACAATTCCCATCATCCCTGACCACTGGTCTTGCTAGCTAGGGATGATGGGAGGTTGTAGTCCAAAAACAGCTGGAGGCCCAAGGACATATTGTATCTGTACCAATACAGCCATGAAGGAGCTGAAGGGCCATGCTTAGACAGAGGTCACAAACATGGAAATATTGAACAATCTACCATGCCTCTGCATTAAGCCAATGTCCTTTATACAGAACACTGAAAAACAAGCAAACTCCCCTCACAAAATGGCCAGGCAAGACCTTGCAGAATTCAATGTGCACTAAAACAGGGAGGAAGAAATGTCCAATAGAAATGGAAACGGGAAGGTACAGACTTGCTCTGATTCAGTTTTGAAGCAAGCAAAGCTATTATATATGCTTTGGCATGCAAGTCTTACAATCTTGGACAACCCTCGATCTCCCACTTGTTCAGCCCCATGTTTCTGGGCTATAATATTTTAAGTTTGCCTCAGAGCTGCCTGCTTATCTCTCATCAGCATCACACCTCATCACGTTCTTATTCACACTGGCTGGTTCCCAGAAAATCCTCAGTAAACTACCTGTCCTCCAATCTTCTCAGTACGTATGCATCTTATGACTATAGTAAAGGTAAGGTACCCCTCCCGTTACGGGCCAGTTCTTGCCAGACACTAGGGTTGCCGCGCCCCATTCTCACTTAAGAGGCCCGGGGGCCAGCGCTTGTCCGGAATACACTTCCGGGTCACGTGGCCTAGCGTGACAAAAGCCGCATCTGGCGAGCCAGCTGCAAGACACACGGAACGCCGTTTACCTTCCCGCCAGTAAGCGGTCCCTATTTATCTACTTGCACCCGGGAGTGCTTTCGAACTGCTAGGTTGGCAGGCGCTGGGACCGAATGACGGGAGCGCACCCCGCCGCAGGGATTCGAACCGCCGACCTTTCGATCGGCAAGCCCTAGGCGCTGAGGCTTTTACCCACAGCGCCACCTGCGTCCCCTTATGACTAATATACCCCTGTAAAAAGGTAAAGGAACCCTGACAGTTAAGTCCAGTCACAAACAACTCTGGGGTTGTGGCAGCATTTGCCCACAGACAGTTTTTCCGGTCATGTGGCCAGCATGACTAAGCCGCTTCTGGCGCAACGGAACACCAAAACCAGAGCAGCACACGGAAACGCCGTTTACCTTCCTGCCGGAGCATTACCTATTATCTACTTGCACTTTGACGTGCTTTCGAACTGCTAGGTGGGCAGGAACTGGGACAAAGCAAAAGGAGCTCACCCTGTCGTGGAGATTTGAACTGCCGACCTTCCGATCGACAAGCCCCAGGCTCAGTGGTTTAGACCACAGCGCCACCCGCACCTCTGTAGGAGTCTACTAACCATACCTCTGCATGCAAGCTTCATTCAATTTTACCTGCAGTGCTTGCTCCTGAATATCTCTGAACAACTCCATATCTTTCTCAGTCATGACATCTGGACCTCCAAGAAGCCATTCTTCATTTTCCTGTTTTCCATCCCAGCCATCCTGATTGTCTGAAAATGAACACACAACGACAAATTGAATTTCCTGAAATTAAGCACCTGAATATGTAAGGTGGTCACAGGATAAATAACTATCTAAAAGGGGTTATTGCACTTATTGCACTAAGAAGTTTTGAAGTTCATGGCAGGCTACCCCTTTAGACTAAACTGTGACATACCAACATAGACCCTTCCACCCCACCACCTGGCAGCTTCAGTTCTTCCAGTGGTATAACCATTCCACTCTCACCCATCAATACTTCTTGGCCTTGGGAGAAGGCATATTCCCCTGGACTGTGGAAATGTGCTCTCAGTCTAAACCAACCTCACATGGCTGTTGTGCCAGGAAAATGGGGAGGAGAACTATATATGCCACCTTGAGCTCCTTGGAGGAAAGGTGCAATGTAAGTCTAATAAAATAAATAAATATTCTGACAATCTTAACAAACACAAAATAATACACACTAACCTCCACTGCTTGGACTGCTGTCCACAAATGAAAATATATTATGATGATTTTAGCATATACACTTTGCCAAGGTTCTGTGGTGTATTTGAAGATGACCCTTTAATTGTACGTGGTTATATATATATATATATTAGTGATGTATGGAAGTGAGAGCTGGACCATAAAGAAGGCTGATCGCCGAAGAATTGATGCTTTTGAATTATGGTGCTGGAGAAGACTCTTGAGAGTCCCATGGACTGCAAGAAGATCAAACGCATCCATTCTTAAGGAAATCAGCCCTGAGTGCTCACTGGAAGGACAGATCGTGAAGCTGAGGCTCCAGTACTTTGGCCACCTCATGAGAAGAGAAGACTCCCTGGAGAAAACACTGATGCTGGGAAAGATGGAGGGCACAAGGAGAAGGGGGCGACAGAGGACGAGATGGTTGGATAGTGTTTTCGAGGTTACCAGCATGAGTTTGACCCAACTGCGGGAGGTAGTGGAGGACAGAGGTGCCTGGCGTGCTCTGGTCCATGGGGTCATGAAGAGTCGAACACGACTAAACGACTAAACAACAACAACTCCCTCTCAGCTAACCCAACTCACACGAGTTGTTGTGAGGATAAAACAATGAAGTGCAGGGGAAAGAGGCAAACCAAAATATATACACTGGGCTGAATTCAATGACCCCATTCTGCTAGTGCAGAGCTTTCCAAACTTTGTCGGCTGGAAAGGGGTTAGTTTAACCTCCGGTTTGCTAGTAAAACTGAATTGCCATGTCGTGAAATGATGTGTGTCTAAAAAGTGTGTCGCCAACATGAAAAGTTGGGAAAGCTCTGTGCTAGTGGAAACCCACCCTATCCCATCTTCCCCAAATACACCCTGGAGTGTTAAGAGAACCCCCAGATCAGCGTTTGGGGGGGGGGAGAGAGAAGGGATATTGTTCCGCAGGGGAGCAGAAATTCTTACACTGACAGAACAATCTCTGTAGCTGTACACTGAATTGCACCCATGGCTTCAAGTTTTTTGGAGTGGGGTCGAGGAGGGTTATCCATTTGTTTGGTTCTTTTTATTTTGCATTTTGTGTTCTTATCTTGTATTTTTATGCTTTGAACCACCCTGAGATAAAGGACAGCATGCAAATTTAATGCATACCGTATTTTTCACTCTATAAGACGCACCAGACCACAAGACGCACCTAGTTTTTGGAGGAGGAAAAGAAGAAAAAAAATATTCTGAATCTCAGAAGCCAGAACAGCAAGAGGGATCGCTGTGCAGTGAAAGCAGCAATCCCTCTTGCTGTTCTGGCTTCTGGGATAGCTGCGCAGCCTACATTCGCTCCATAAGACGCACACACATTTCCCCTTACTTTTTAGGAGGAAAAAACTGAGTCTTATAGAGCAAAAAATACGGTAAATAAAATTTGATGGGACGGTGGAATAGAAATGAAACCTTAGATCAAACCACCATGACCTTTCATAATTATCCGTTTATTTACATATTTTTATCCCACCTTCTGAGTGGAAAAAAGGTAGAAACCCCATCATGAATACATATTAAAACAATACAATATGAAATATGTAACATAATCAGCAGATCCCGATGTTGATCTTTCTCCCCACCCCCCCACCTTTGTCCCTGATATCGATCTTCACCCACCCTGGTGGGAAGGGGGTGTGTGCCCCATTTTGGGGTTTGACTCAAGTGCCAAAATGTCTTAGGCCAGCCTTGATGCTTATTGTGGCGTTTGCCCGTTCTTTTTAAAATATCTGTACAGGGGGAGAGAAAGAGTTAATAGGTAGACCAATAGAAAAGCCAGAGGCTGAGCCTACCTGTTTATAAAAGG